CCCCCCCCCTTTGTTCTGCCATTTGCAGCCTGAGTCGGTGAACTTTAGCCAGAGTCCTGGAGAGCAGAGACACCCACTTCACTGTGCCCTCTTCTTGCTCAGCAGACTCTAAGCCACATTTCCTCTTCCTTTGGGAAGTGGTTAAGATCATGGGCTTTGGAACCAGACCAGCTTGGGTTTGACTCCTGCATCTATGGCCATGGAAAGTGTTGTGTTTAGTTGTGTCCCCCCTAAAATAATGTTGAAGTCCTAACCCCCAGTACCTTAGAATGTGACCTTATTAGGAAAATAGGGTCATTGTAGATGTAATTAGTTAAGATGAGGTAATACTGGAGGAGGGAGGGCCACATCCACTGTGAATGGTGTCCCTGTAAAAAGATGACCATGGAAGATGGAGGCAGAGATTGAAGATTGGTGCATCTACAAGCCAAGGAATGCCAAGGATTGCTGGCCATTACCAGAGGCTAGGAGAGGGGCATGGAAGAGTGTCCCTCACAGCCCTCAGAAGGAACAGCCCTGCTGGAATGGAACTCTGAGGGAATAAGTTTCTGTTGTTTTAAGCCACCCAGTTTGTGGTGCTTGTTACAGCACCTCTAGGAAACAGTTATATAGGAAGTTACTTGAGCTTTCTGAGCTTCAGTGTCCCCATGTGTAGAATTAGTGTAACACCCTGCACCATGTGATATGTGTGTGTGTGTGTCGATTAAAAGAGAAGCAGCTTCTGCTTTCTTATTCTAGTCTGGAAAAGCAAGGCTGATGTAGCTGACCTGTTTGCCTTCTTTGTTTCTCCTTTTAGCTGAGTGAGGAGTTGGATCAGGTGGTTGAGAACTCAGAGCGGGCAGACGAGCAGGAGAAGGAGACAGTCAAAGTCCAGGGTTCAGGCATCTTACCAGGTAAGTGGGTTCAGTGCTAGGGTGGAAGGGTGGCAAAATGGTGCTGCTGCTGCAGCTGGAAGCCCCAGCCAGGCACCTCGCGATCCGGGTGGAGAGGAGGAGCCTTGCGCCTTGGTGTCAGATCTCAGGCAGTGCCCTAGTTTTAAAGCTATACATATTTAACCAGCCTTGGGACAGAGGGTGCGCCCGGCTGGTGGCTGCTCTTTTCTGTACTCCCATTTGAGCCAGTTCCTGAGGCCAGGCCTTTGGATACAATAGCAGGGCTTTGGGTGTCTGCTCTTCTGTTAGATTTTCCCTCAGAAGCGGGTAGCAGGTAAGCCTCTAATATCTGGATCACTTCCCAGAGCCTTCTGGAAGAATATCTAATAGGCATCACTTTTCGGATATCAGACCTCCAGTATAGTTGCCCAGCTGGGTGAGCAGAGTCCTGTCAGACAGGTGGCATCTTATGGAGCCTTGCAGTAACTTTTGACACTGTTGACCACTCCTTCCCCCCCTTGCTCGCATGTACCTGCCATGTTTACATTCTAGCTAAGAGGTGACTTATAAACCCGGACTTATGTATCCTGTGTATCCAAATGCCCGGGTGATAGCTCTGCTTAGCTCTTCCAAAGGGACCCTAAACTCCACACACCCAGAATTGCCTCGTGATGTCCCCACTTGACCCTCTTCCAGTGTTTTCTGTTTCCTGGAATGGCACCACTGCCCACCCAGTTGACCCTGGGAGTTATTCTTTTTTCCTTTCTTCCCTTCACCATTTTCTCTGCCTCTTAGTGGTGCTGTCTTCTTTTATCCTGCTCTCACTCCTTCCCACCATAGGAGGGAATTCCTAAGCCTGGAGTTCTCTTCCCTCTATCACCTAGTTAATGCCGAATTATTCTTCAGCTCACTCATTTTTTATCTACAAAGCCTTTTGTGATCTCCCAGCCAGATCACTTTCACCCTCCAACGGTGTCACTTGTATAGCCTATGCACCTCTCCCTTGTAGCTGTCGCTGATGGGATGATGTATTTGTTTGCCTGACTGATTAATGTCTATTTTACTGGAATATAAGCTCCATGAGGGTAGAGACCATTCTGTTTTGCTCACCACTTTAACTCTGGTCATGCAATAATGATTTGTTGAATGAATGAACGAGTGAATGGAGGCCCAGTCAGACTCCAGCTTCTTGGGTGGACTGAGGGAGGTGGGATTCTGCTCCTCTTGATTCCTGTATTTGTAGGGGAAGAGAATGGGATAGGAAATTCTGTGACTGTGCCTAATCCTTGGAGAAGACTGGAGAAGGAAGGAGGCTGGAAGGGCAGCTGATGTTGACTGACTGCATCCTCTGGGCCAGGTGCTGTCAGAGCCATTGCCCCAAGGTTAAAGTGTGGGAAGATCACGTGGCTGGTAAACAGACAGACTGGGTCAAGCTCTCTCTGACCTCACACTCTTTCTGCTGCACCAGTGACTTTTAAAAAATATGTAAAGCATCCTTTTACTAAAGCCCAATATATAAAAGGTAGTAACATGACTGCCCCCCACTCTGACTCTGGGCACTGCCCTGGGAGAACAGTTTAAAAGCCTTGAATGTTAGTTTCTATGTTTCTGTAACAAATTACCACAAACTTAGTGGTTTAAAACAACGCAAATATGCCCTGGCCAGTGTCGCTTAGTTGGTTGGAGCATCGTCCCCTGCACCAAAAGGTGGCAGGTTCGATCCCTGGTTGGGTCATGTGCAGGAGGTAGTGGATCGATGTTTCTCTCTCTCTCTCTCAAAAATCAGTAAATAAATTTAAAGAAATAAAAATGTTTCATTAAAAAACACACACAAATATGTTATCTTACAGTTCTTGAGGTCAGAAGTCCAAAATGGGTCTGACTGAGCTAAAATCAAGGTATTAGCAGGCCTGCCTTCCTTTCTGGAGGCTCTAGGGGGATAATCTGTTTTAGTGGATTTTCCTTGGCTGTTGGCTCTTCTTTCATCTGCAAACCAGCAGTGGCAGATGGAGTCTTTTTCACATCTTACCATTCAGCCATTGACTTCTGCCTCTCTCTTCCACATTCAAAGAGCCCTTGTGATTACATTGGGTGTACCCATATAATCCAGGGTAATCTCCCTGTTTTAAAGTCAGGTGATAGGCAACTTTAATCCCATCTTCAGCCGTAATTTCTCTTTGGCATGTAACGTGACATATTTACAGGTTCCAACAATTAGGACTTAGACTTATCTTTGGTGGGCCATTACTCAGCCTACTGTACCCTGTATTGCCTGCCCTCTTGCCTCTAATTAGAATAGGAGAGATGCAGGCAGCAGCAAGAAGAGGGAGGGCAGATGTTGAAAGATGAAGTTTTCTTTATAGATAAATACACAGATGATTGATAAACATGAAAAGATGCTCAGCACCGTTAGTCATCAGGGAAATAACAGATTTAATCCACAAGGAGATACTACCTCACACCTACTAGGATGGCTACAATCAATAAGATGGACCATAACAAGTTTTGGTGAGGATATCAAGAAATTAGAACCGCCATACATGGCTGGTGGGAATGTAAAATGGTGCAATTGCTGTTTAAAACAGTCGGCAGTTCCTCAAAAGGTTAAATACAGAGTTATCTGTGACCCAGCAGTTCCAATCCTAGGTATATACCCAAGAGAAATGAAAACTTATACCCACACAAAAAATGTAGAAGAATATTCATAGTAGCATTATTTATAATAGCCAAAAGATTGAAACAACCCAGATGTCCACCAACCAATGAATGGATAAATAAAATGGTATATTAGTATAATGGAATATTACTTGGCAATAAAAAGGAGTGAAGAACTGATTATGCTACGACATGACTGAATGTTGAAAACATCAAGTGAAAGAAGTAAGACACAAAAGGCCACATGTTGACTGATTCTGTTTATGTGAAATGTCCATAATAGGCAAATCCGTAAAACAGAAAGTAGATTATTGGTTACCAGGGACTTGGGGGAGGGAGGAGCGACGACTAAAGGGTATGGAGTTTCTTTTTGGGTTATGCATATGTTCTATAATTAGGTAGTGGTGATGGTTGCCTACCTTGTGAATATACTAAAAACTATAAAATATATTTTAAAAGGATAAATGTTATGGTATGTAAGTATATCTCAAAAAAATCACTAAAGAGAAAGAGATAGACCAAGAATTCATTCCTTCTTTGCATTTAGAATGCATCTTTGCCCAGTCCTTTCTGTAAGGTTGGGTTTCACAGGGTTGTGATAGTCAACCAGTTCTGAACAGAAGACCCAGGTAGTTTCAGAAACTGAATTGCTCTTCACAGATCCTGTTAATGGCCTGACTTACAGCCTGGGGCATGTGTGGGTTTTTGAAGCAGTTGTGTTGTAGATTTTGCAAAACTTCTAAGTTAACCTTTTTCAAGAAAATCTTGTGCATTATTTTTGTCTTTCCACTACGTTTAGTATGTATTCATATAAAGGATATATATGAATAATTTTTTTAAAAATTATTTTTCTATTATAGTTTGCATTCAGCACTATTTTGTATTAGTTTCAGGTGTGCAGCAGATAGACATTCATATAGGTTACAAAGTGTTCCCGTACGTAATTCAAGTGCCTACCTGGCACCATAGGTAGTTATTATAGTACTGTTAACTATAATCCCTATGCTGTATCTTATATCCCCATGCATGTTTTGTAACTAGCAATTAGTACTTTTTAATCCCATCACCTTGTTATAACCTGCCCCCCAACACTCATCCCCTTTGGCCTACGTCAGTTTTTTCTCTATATAAGTGTTTCAGTTTTGTTTGTTAGTTTATTTTGTTCTTTAGGTTCCACATATAAGTGATTTCATATGTTATTTGTCTTTCTCTGTCTTGCTTATTTCACTTAGCACAATACCATGTAGGTCCATCCGTGCTGTTGCAAATGGTAAGATATCATTTTTTTTTTTATGGCAAAGTAATATTCCATTATATTTATATACCACTGCTTTTTTATCTATTGGTCTATTGATGGGCACTTGGTTGCTTCCCATGTCTTGGCTATTGTAAATAATGCTGCACTGAACATAGGGGTGCATATATTCTTTTGAATTAGTGTTTTGGGTGTCTTCAGATATATACCCAGAAGTGGAAGCACTGGGTCATAAGACAGTTGTTTTAATTTTTTGAGGAACCTCCACATTGTTTTCCATAGTGGTGGCACCAGTCTGCATTCCCACCAACACTGCGCTAGTGTTCCCTTTTCTCGCTGTCCTCGCTAACACTTGTTTGTTGATTTATTAATGATAGCTTTTTTGAGGTGTGAGGTGGTATCTCCTTGTGGTTTTAATTTGCATTTCTCTGATAATTAGTGCTGTTGAGCATCTTTTCAGATGTCTACTGGCTATCTGTATGTCCTCTTTAGAGAAGTATCTCAGGTCCTCTGCCCACTTTGTCATCAGGTGGTTTGTTTGTTTTTTGGTGTTGAGTTGTCTGAGTGGCGTGGGAGAGGGACCCAGCACAGGGACACTTGCTGCTGTCACTTAAACCGTCTACCCGCAGCCACACCACTCAGTCTTCCCCTGTATGACTCTGGTCCACTCCTAGCTGCCTTCCCTCTGCAAGAGCCCCGAGTGAGTGCCATGACGGAGATTCTGTGTACTGGCCCTTCAAGAGAGCAGTACCTTTCTCACCAGGGCAGGCGGAATCCCCGCTGATTTTCACAGTCAGATACTGTGTTGGCTTTTCTCCCCCCCTGGCTTTAGTGCTCCAGCTAGGGATCCAGGCTTGGGGCTGAGGCCCCTGGCTCCTCTGCAGGGACCTCCTGGGCCAAGATACCCCTCTGGATTCTTAACCGCGGCCCATGGGTGCGGAGCCAACCCCTTTTGTGTGTCTGCCCTTCCTGCTGGTCTGATGAGGGTTCCTCTGTATCCTTAGTTCAGCTAGTCCAGATAATTATTGGGGTTGATTTTTCAGTACTTTAGCCTCGACTCTGATATGATCCTGGGAGGAGGTGAGTGTAACTTTCACCCACGCTGCCACCA